GGTCCCCAAGACCTACCCCTACATGTATGTACAAGGACTCATCGGTGCGATACTGGAACGCAGAGAACAGGACCAAGGACCACTGTTCTCGAAGGCTGTTCTGCTCCCTGATGACCCTAGACACACAAGGCCCAGGCTTGCACCATTTCCTCCACCACAACTTGATGTGATCCTAGCCAGGAGACTAGGCCGATTAGAGAAATCCATGTAATCCTCTGTAGTGAACAATTGGGATTGTCTGACTTGAGAACTGCTTTTTTTCGAGCAGAGACTAAGGGATCCAAATGGCGTCCTTCCGTCCATCCTCCGTGACTGTACACAAATTTGAATGAAGTCTAATGTGAAATCTTACCTGCAAAAATCAATTAGGGTTGCTAACTTTCCAACCCTGCATCTGTTTGTAACCATACTTGATTGGTACATGTAGATGCCCTTTATTGGCCTCCATGATATTCTGGAGTTGAAGGTCACATAAGTAGGTCAAAGGTCAAATGAGGTTCATTGTTGCATGATTGCATGATTGCATGCAAGACTCTTAATCGCCTCGATTTAATTTGTCCATGTGGCATGTTTTTAGGCTATCTTGAGGATTGGTTGGAACTTAACATTTTGGACTCATTTGGTTGCTAATGATTTTGTGGTCCGGAGGTGAAAGATTGCATGGCTTAGCATTACGAGCATGTATTCTTGATATGTCAGAGACCCTTTGACAAAATACCACCAAACTTGATACTAGAGTGTCCCTGGGGATCATGGGGATGTGGTTATCTATCAGTATAAAAAAAAAGTCACATAACGCATGATATACATGTACCAGAAATAAATTGTTATTGTTGCTAGATTAGCCACCATGCTTGGCACTTGTATTACAATAAGAGGTTGGCAAGTTTACAAATGGAAGAAATGTAGGAATATAAAAGACAAATTGTGACATCAGTGTATAAAAGCTCTATGTGATTTATACAATTCATAATTTGTGATAAAATCAGTGCTTGCTCATGTGGAAATGGTGGATATTTCAATTTGTATCTATTTGGCAACCTATATTCCTTGAAGAAGTTACGGTAGTAATTATAAAATTTACAGCCAAGAGGTCAAACCATGAGTCAACAATGTGTTTGGTTTTAGTGACTGTGCATGTAACTGAGGTGACAGTCGATCATGAAAAAGACTATACTTCGGAACCTGTTGAAAATCAACATGGACAGAAGAAAGATTTGTAGAATATCTTATTGTAAATAGTCTTCATTTTTTGTTTAATGCAATCAATGTGACTAAAATAATGCAAGCGAAAAAGAGAAATGATCACAAGACAGCAAAACAGTTGGTTTCATGCATCATTTGAATCAATGAACGTGAATCAGCTCAACGCCAAAGTATTGCGGTTCAAGGTTATACCATCAAGAGATATGCTGCCTGTAACTACTTTGTAGTTTGAAAGGGTGTATAAAGGAATAAGGATACAGTTGGGCAGGCGAGTCTTTCTGTTGGTCTATTGTAAAAAACTGGGTCAAATTTTTTCCAATTTTTACGCAAATTGTAATAAAACTTGGTATACCGATTGACCCGAGGGTGTGCAAGACACATTTGTTGTGTCTGTCTGTTAAGGTACCTCCATGGTAACCAAGCTTTGCACAAAGAATACAATTTTGTTTTAATAATCTTGTGGAGCATATTCTTTCCAAGTTTTAGCAATTTTATAGTTTTGGTATCTTTGATGAGGCATTATAATAACAGTATAAAACTCAATGCATGTGCAGTGTGTAAAATAAGTATGTGAGCAAACTATTGGAAGTAGTTTGATCGATTCATATGAAACTCAGTACACACAACGCAGAATTGTCTTTTGTGTGCGTATAGGACATGACCAGTTTTGAAATGTCTGTGCTATTTTTTTGAAAAACCTTATGTTGGATGTTAATCACTTGAGGTGATATTCATAGTCGAGCATTAGGGAAGATGAAAGACATATATACCTAACTATACTTAATTTTGTGCTGAAACTGATGTGATTCAGGATTTGAGATCGATATGGAGTATGTATACATATATACTCGTACGAATCACTCAGACAATTTTTAAAGCATTTATATATAAAGTAAGATGTGAAACTTAAAAGATAAAACCAGTTATGGTCATGCGACTGCATTGTGAAAGGATTGTTGTGGAATCGATCAGAAAAGGTTGATCATCTAGCATATAAGTCTTGGTGTGTACTGCAAGGTTCTAGAATCATCGAAATGATAAAAAGATTGGCCCAGTCTTGGTAAAGTTACAAGCACTGTACACAGAAAGATGTATATGGGACTACGCACAAGTGCGCGACACATGCGTTATATCTATCAAGTCCAAATAGATATAATAATTTACCAAATATATCAATTAGTAGGCAGTTTCTCGGCAAAATTTGTATGATCACGTACTAGTCAAAACATTGTGTGCGGGCAAGCACTGAATCAAATGACCGGGGTAATAGTATATTTGTCAAGCGCGTAGAAACATTACTGTTATAGATACTTTTCTTTGGTAAACTTATCTACACATTGCCTATAGAGAATGTCAAGTTTTTATGAAAGACACAAGATAAGATGTATATAAATAAGCAGTAACTAATAAGTAACAAGACATGGTGGTATACAAATAAAGTATATTGCTCCTTCTTAATGACGACGGTTAAAGTTGTCATAGCGATAGATGCTAAATAAAAATGTGCCTTTTTTAATACACATGATCTGTTTGTATGCAATGGTTGGAATCAACATCACGTTTAAATATTGCCTTCAGTACAGCAAGTATAATTTGTATTCATCTGAATAATGTTGTGTAAATTTAACTGTTAGTTATGGCCGAATAAAGCTTTCAATGTACACCATAAAAATATGTTATGTATCTTCATTTTAGCATTACTATAATTATATTAAAATCTTATGTCTTTACACATTTACAAGTTATCACGTACTGACGTAGGTCATGCAATACACAGGCACTGTAGAACACAACTTATTTACAAGAAGTTACAATCACTTTTTTTTTTAAACTTTACAATTGCATGCAGTACCAAAATAAAAATACTAAAAAACACTGCATTATGGACAAGTATGAATCAAGTAAGATGTTAAATTAATTCACTACTGTTATTCATTATAGTATACTGATACAACAATTTTTAATATTTTTTTAAATTTATTTCTTTTTATTTCTCCACTTTCCCTTTAGCCATGTACCTTCATGTTGTTATATATGTTAAAGGTGTCGCTCTGGACCTATAACATATGATAAGACAAAAAATCCACCAGTTATTTCTGATTTCTATCAAATTTTTAGATTTTGTGTTGTTGTTGTTGTTGTTTGGTATTATCGGCGTTTCATTCTTTTTTAGAATATTTACGCCTTTCACTTTATTTCTTTTTTTTTCTTCTATTTTTGGTACTATTTGTCAATTCATATTCATCTCTTTTTTTTGGATAATATAATCTCAGATCTACTGGTCCATGAAAACCCCTCACCGCAATTGGCACCTTCCTGCCAGACCGGCGCGGTACATTGCGCAATCTTCTCGGCCATCATTGGCCTAGGCAACTCTGGTGCCGGTGAGAGGATTCTGGGGTAGATCTTTGGAGTCTCTTGTTTGGGGTTTACCGTCCTCAATCCGTCTTTACTCTTTCTTACCTTTTCTCTTCTAGTATTTTTCCATTTTGTAAAACCTTATTTTTCTATCAAAGTGGGTATCAACATCTTAGGGCATTTGGTTGTCGTGCGATATGTGCCAAACAAAAAATGTGGATTTAGTAATTCCTTTTTGAATGAAACATGGATTTAGCTTCTTTTGGAATTGAATGGATTTAGCTCCTTTTGGAATGAAACTGTAATAATGTTGTTTACTTTCTTTTCGAAAGGTTATATTTATGTGTGATTTCACTATTATTATTTAAAAGGAAAGGTTTGCTGCTAAATTTGAATAAAATTTCAGTGACTTTATTGAGAAAATATGATTTATTTTTTATTTTTTTAGGTACAATAACATGTTTCATTCCAAAAGGAGCTAAATCCACGAAAATAAAAAATCTAAAAATTTAGTAAACATCAGAAAAGCCGAAGGGAAGATTTTTTCTTATCATTATTGGCAGATAATCAGGTCCATGCAGGGTGACACCTTTAACATATATAACAACATGAAGGTATACATGGCTAAAGGGAAAGTGGAGAAATAAAAAAGGCAATTTACTCAGAAGTACCCAAAGTGGATTTGGCTCCTTTTGGAATGAAACTCTTCACATATAAAAGGAAGACAAGTAATATAAAAGGAAAAACGAAGGCCCACGTCATTTACATAGAAGGTAGGTGGACAGATAACCTCGATGTTTTTAATCTAATTTCATCTGGGAGATCATTCCACAGCTTTGTTCCTACAAACGAAATACAAAATTGCCCTTGCGTTGTCTCACATATTGGTTGATAGATAGAGTAAGCCACTTTCTTTACACTGTAGAAGTAATCAACTGGGTCATACGACGTACAATACATACACATACACTACTACTAGGTCGAGCGTACTCGCACTACATACACATACAGTATTCGCATATCGCGCTCAAAAACAATAGCGCTACCAGTACCACAGACCATGCAATTATGTGCAGGCCTCGCATACCATAATGTGTACAATATAAATCAGTCAGCGCGCTATAGACATGGTTCGGATATTACTTGCACGCCCATATCCGATCGTCGTCTTGGCGAAAATTCACGGTGTGCTGCCGCTTGACCGAGAGGTGGCGCTATACAATTACACTGAACACGCCTCGAAAGTAAAATTTTTGATAAATAAAATCATTTGCAGTCGAACAGGTTTTTTGCATATAAATTCACTCTAATGTAATATTTCGGATTTATATCTTCAATGATGCATTCTTAGACATTTATTGTATGTTTTTTATGTTTAGATCATAGTTTCGTTCGCTAATGTGAGTATTGACCAACACTCAACTATTCCTTTAAGGATAACAAGATGTCGACTAAACACTCCTCAGTTGAATTGATGATTGTAGAAGGTTTTGAACTGAGAAAAGTGAAGGCGCCGAGTGGTCGCCAATACCTTTTTGGAAATGTCATCGAAAGTGGTAGAGAAGGTGTAATTAAGGGGTGTTTTGTTAATGAGGTAACGAGCGAAGCGGCTGTGGACCTCGTCAAATTGAAGGCCGGTGACAAAATCATCATAACGCACGTGGTGGGTAAGGGAGGCCCCAGTCTCCGTTTGCTAGCAAATGCGACGGTAAGTGAAAGTTTGGAACTTTTTGGTGTCTATGTATGGATTTTTGTGTTGAGTAAGCGTCCACTTGACAATATATGATCATTTATTTAGCCTAAGGCCATTAAAAAAATATATACATGTTTAGCGTCCCCGCCCGTTTCCTTTTTGGGGGCCGCCTCCTATTTTATTTTTTTTGAAACTTTTTTTTTTTTTTCATGTTTTTTTTTTTTATTTATTTATTTTTATTTTTTTAATCAAAAAAAATAAAGAAAAAAACATGAAAAATACTGCTAAAATTGATCTATTTCTGATTAAAAAAAAAAAAAAAAAAAAAAAAAAAAAATGTCGGCGGCCATCTTGAAAAGTAGCCCGACTGTTAGGGAAAATGTACCGAGCGGTCATTTTGAAAAGAAAAAAAAAAAAAAAAAAAAAGGGCCTCCTTTCTATTTTTTGAAAAAACAGGACGCTAAACATGTTTTTTTTTTTTTTTTTGCCTAATCAATGGTTGACTAAATTGTGAATTATAATTTGTTTTATTCATTGAAGGGCTTTTAATAGGCCTGTACTAGATACATTTGCTTGACTAAATAAAGCAATAATATCATTAACAAAATTATTTGAAAAAAGTAATATTTTGTCTTCGATAACCATTAGAGGTATGGTAAAACTATATCCATTCCATTTAGCCTAATCAATTTTTGGCTAAAAATAATTTATATTTAATTTTAAATCTGTAATGGTTAAACGGTAGTATAAATTATCAATATGATTTAGTAGCTTAAATATTTGTTGATTTTTTGTTGTTTTTTGTTGAAAGTATGGCTTTATTAATTTGCAGTTTCATTATGAAGGATGGTATTTATATTAAGGTAAATATGTTTATACTTGGGGCCTTTAAAAAAATGGTTTATAGTGGTATTGTTGTAGAGAAGTGGCTATGTATCACAATCTTTAAATAGTTATAAATTGTATTTTATTGATATAAATTGTATTTTTAGGTGTTTTCTGAAGTCGTCGATTTCGACGTAAACAAGGAAGCAGTGGACAGCTTTATCAGGCCGAAAAGTGTTTCTGTCTCTGAGGCTCGGGGGAGCGCCCCAAAAAGAAGAATGACAGTTGAAGGTGATGTGATCGAGGTATGTATTTTGCTGTTGTAAAATGTAACAATTGTGACGATTTTTTGTTTAACTTAGTGATTTTGAATCGTAAAAGAAGTTTTTTCAAATTGTGAGGATTTTATGAAACATTAAAAAAGATATTTATTTATATAAACATTATAAATGATATCATATTACGATTTGAGTGTATAGTGTAATGCATTATACATTATACTGGGGAAAACCAGAAGTGCCAAGTGTGACGGACATGAGTGCTATACAAAAACACACTATTGTTATTTTCAAATGTTTTTGTATTTTTCGAATTAAATACGTGATGTACTTGTTTATGGTGTTTTGCAGGTAGGCCAACTTGTGGAGAGTGGAAGTTACAAAAGGCGGGTAATAACGTTGAGACAGCTGGGTGATGACGATACTCAATCGATACCAATAACCCTATGGGGCGAGAGCGCTTCTCAGGATGTAGCAGAAGGACTGTCTGTCCTGGTGACGGCCGTCATTAGAGACGCCAATGGTCTGCAGGGGTCGGTGTCCACGAAAATTGAGGTAATTTTGTTTTACTATAGGTTTTCCCGCCCAATTTTATCAGAGTTGCATTTCGAGTTCATACATAGGCGTTTAAGTTTCAATGATATTTGTCAACTCTCTGCTCTCATGGTTCATTTTCATTTTTTGAGCTTTCAATTTCGTTTTATCATTTCTTTTGAATTTTATTTAATTCAGAGAAAAATCCATTTAATTTAATGACCAATTTTGCGCCAGCTGGATAGACGTTTAATTTGTCTATTTGTGAATTTGAATACATTAATGTTTATTATGGCAATGCAGGCGCTAATTTGAATGAATTTACTTGCTTTTTTAATTTGAACGCGCTTTTTGCACGCTGATGTGGGAAAATCATGAATTGCATGTTTATACAATCAAATTGAATGAACTAGATAGCTTTTTGAATGTTTTTTTTGTTTTTATGTTGAGTTGCACAGTTTGATATGTCTACACACGTACCAAATTAATCCGACACGTAGACACAAAATGATCTCGGTGATTATTCAACTTTGCTCGAAATTGAATGATCGCATCGTTAAATCAGATGCCACTTTAGTTGTGATTTTGTAGGTTTGTTTTGAACTTTTCATGATTAGTCATTGATTTTGTTTGTGTTTTAAACTGAAGGGCAATTAATCCAACCCTTGTAATAAGTTTATGTGTATAAAAGCAGAACTGAAATAACACAAACAAAATGGCAAAAGTTTGAAATGAATCGACCAATAGTAAGGAAGTTATGAATGTTTGAAATATGAGATTACTCAGTCTATGCAAATCTCAAATTGGTAGTTCGGTCAGTGGATTGTGACGTAGGACGTGGATCAGTCTCTCATTTGTCGTGTACAAAAATACCATTAATTTTTGTTTTTTTCGTATGTTTGTTTTCCCTTGGAACACTACTCAAAATTATAGATAGCATAGTATTTATAGGTCCTTTAAAAAAAAAAACCCTCCTGAGCAATGAATTTTCGAAAAAAATACAAATTTAGTCATTTATATGTTGGAACAGATGGAAAAGTAGCCGACACTATATCACATTGGCATTACTGGTTCAGCCAATTTGAAGTGCTCATAGGTATAGTGATTACTACTTTTAAAAATTCATAACTTTTTTATATTCAACTTTCATCAGTTTGCTTTTGTGCTTTGTATTAGATTAGTACTCTATTTGGGTTAGATTTTCCTTTAATGTTCATTGGTTTAAAAATGAGTTGTAAACAATTATTTAAAGCACATTTTGAAACAATAGTTTCTTTAATCATTTTTTAAAGATTTTTTGTTAAATGTTTGAAACTTGAAGACACCGTAACATGAGTTAGTAGACAGAACGTTTTTTCGAGAGAAAATCAGTGCGAGTGGGACAAAAAGTCTCCGAATTTGTCTTTTTACGTTGAGTTTAACGCCGCCCATAGAGTAAGTTTATATCATGAAATACTCAATACTTGTTTAGTAAAGGATAAAAATGTGTAGATTAATTCAATGTTGAGATATAAACTGTGCAAGATTTTGTGTCTATGAGACTATGTGTCGGATTAATTTGGTACGTTTGTGTACACATACACTCAGCTTCAAAGAGGTCAGTGTGCGCGCTGTTGAGATTTAAAGATAAACTGAGTTCTGGTAATGCGATTGCATTGTGAAAGAAAAGGTGTGGAATGGATCAGAAAAGTTGATCATATAGCATGTAAGTAATGGTGTGTAATGCAAGGTTTTGGAGTCATCAAACTCATCATAAATTTGGCAGAGTCTTGGTAAAGTAACAATCACTTACACAGAAAGATGTATATGGGACAACACACATGGTGTCGGCATGGTCGGGGCTAGTAGTACTAGATCTAGTAGGACCCCTATATATATTATCGATGTTCCAATGTGTTCCTCCTTCAATACAAGCCCTTTTACGATGCCTGTTTAATTAATATATTAAAGATATAGGTCTAGATCTAGATCTACTTGACTTTTGGTTTTAAAAAAGAAAATCAATTCTCACAGAATCAAATGAAACTTAAACTGAATATTCCAGATTACAAATTGAAATTTGCCAAACGATTTTGGGTACAAAGTACTACCCTGATTTTTTTTAATCTTTCTATGCTCATTACTCAGCCAGTATACATTTTCTTCCAAAATTGTTTGGCACATGACATTTATTTGTAATTTTGAACATTCAGTGTAAGTTTCGTTAGATTCTGTGAGAATTCATTTTCTTTTTTTACCACTAGGATCTAGAACTCAAGTTTATCTTTAAGTTTAACGCGTCTATCGGTCAAATGTTAGTTGTTTATTTTTTTTAAAACGCGTAAATTTAGTGGAAATTGAATTTAACGCAGAGACACAAAGTATTGTAGATATATGTAGAAGTGAGTGTAAATGGAGTGAGGTATTTGATTAGACCATAGTTTATTTACTTAAAAATCAAGAAAACCAAGATTGGTTTTGAGAGTAGCATGAGGAAGTATTAAGGAGGAAAAGAATCCAAGATTCAAGTAAGAGTTGATTTCACCATCTAATGAAATCAGGCTTGCAAAAAGTAGGTCACTGTTATTAGGGTCATTTACAAAATGAAGTGTCTTAAGGACCTGATATATTATTTGGTTTGTAAAAATACTGCATGCATTGTCTATTGAATTTTGGTTGCTCATATGAGAGAGAAATTGGTTTATTTGGAGAAAGTAAACGTGTATGTATAAATAAAAAGCAATTTTAAATAGACTCTATAGACTATCTAGATCTAGAGGTTTATATGCAAGTGTATAAATTAAAACATTTAGATTCTAGGTCTAGTCTTGGCAAATAATAGAATGCCATGCTATTTATTTGTATAGAATTCAAGTCCATAGCAGAAAACACTTAATGAGTGCGCATAAAATGTATGCAAATTTTTAAAGAATAATGGCGCTAGTGTAGTTTCGTATCTATTTTTTTTAGCAGTTTAATATCCATTTTAATTTTTTAGCAAATGAATTTTAGCACAATTTTTTATTAATTTCAATCATAATCGTATAGACCTATTGCATTTTTCACCTGAATTTGGATCACATCCGACATCGGGAAACCTCCGTTTAGGGCTTCGATGTCGACGTCGTCGCTCAGTACTAAGGCCATGTAACAAAATATGCATGTTTAGCTTCCCCTCCCGCTTTTTTGGGGGGGCCGCCTCCTATTTTTTTTATTTTTAATTTTTTTTTTTTAAAGAAAAAAACATGAAAAACACTGCTAAAATAGATCAATTTCTGATTTAAATTTAAAAAAAAAAAAAAATGTTGGCGGCCATCTTGAAAAATAGTCAGACTGTCAGGGAAAATGTACCGAGCGGCTATTTTGAGCGGCCATTTTGAAATAATAAAAAAAAAAAGGATGTTAAACATGGTTTTTTTATTTGGCCTAATCGTGTAAGTTGGGGCTCTGATCGGATCGGAAGATCGGAGCGACACCCTCATACCTTTGATCGGTATCGGACTTGAAGATCGACACCAAAAATCAGCTGATTTTTTGTTTATTTTTTTATTTTTTTTAATGACGAAAATTTTCAATTTTCATAAAGTAGGCATGCATTATAATCCAAGATGGTGGCCCGCATGTTTTGCCTCTTATCTTAGACCAATATTATGTATTTCAAAGTCATGAAAAGTCACTAGATATAACAAACATGGTCTACAACAACTTCACATGACAAAATAATCCCAGCTATGAATTTTGTAAAAGCCTTTGATAGCCAAAAACTTGAAAATTTTTGTCATTAAAAAAAAAAAAAAAAAAATTCTGCCAATGTTTTTTGGATCATTTTTATTGATCGGCAATTGGAAATTATTATCTGATCATTCCTGATCGGCTCAAGATCGGCCCCCGATCCACAGGCCTACCCAGTACCGTCTCTATGCTAGTCCTGCACCTCAAACCTTGTATGGTGGTATCATAACATGCACGATACCACCATACGAGAAGTCTGCATAATTTTGGACTGATAGCTTCAGTTTGAGGTGCAGGACTATAGCATAGAGATGATTGGTACTGAGCGACGACGGTGACATCAAAGCTCTAAACGGAGGTTTCTTGATGTCAAATGTGATCCAAATTGAGGTGGAAAATGCAATAAATGATTATGATTAAAATAAGTAAACTATTGGGTTAAAATTTCTTTGCTAAGAATGGATATTAAAGTGCCAAAAAAAAATGAATACCTAACAACACTAGCGCCAGAATAATTTGGTCATTTTTTGAGTTGTATAAAAAAATAGGAGATTTACAAGTTTGATAAATTATCATTTTGGCTGAGTTGAAAAACAGCAACAGTTATTTAGCAAGGTACATGTAGATTGAATGCACAAAAAAAAAAAATCAAATTTGTTTTTGCGCATTGTTATTTAGGTCAGTTGTGAAAGTCACTTTGATAGGTGTATGTGACAAGTTATTGGATTAAGGTGATACATGAACAAAGCACATGCTTTTAGCACATTGGATTAAGGTGATACATGAACAGACTTGGAGCACGTGCTTGTGTTGTGAACATCATAGAGTTAATATTGATTGGATTTTTGGCAAGAAATACATTGAACCATTCAATGAAATATCTTGTGTGTAACTCTATGAATAAGTATTTTTTTTAATACTACTGTAAATATGTCAATGTTAACACCGGATTTTCTATCTGCATTTTCTCTTTGAGTGCAGATTGAATAAAACCGTTATCGAATAGAAAGTGGCGTCCGTTCTTATTTATCGAGTGATTCACACCATTATGATTACATTTTTTTTTTGTAATAATATTATTTAATTTTTTTCTAGGTTTTAACAATTTTGTTCGACGTGGCATCTTTTCAAATTCAAAGCCCAGTAGCTTGTGAGAGTGTCATATTTAATTTACTTTTATTTCTCATTTTAAGACATCATTTTACTCATAATTTTTTTTTTTGTAATCTAGTCAAACTGTCAATTTTTAAAAGTAACCCTTTAGTTTACAGATAGGCAGGAATCATCAGTTAAGTACATGCCCGACATATTTTTTTTTGGCGGCATCGAAGATGGTTCAAAGGGAATGAATTAGATATGACTCCCATCTCTTAAAACTCTTTGGTACTTTGAATGAAATATGTTATGTGTACTACTGTTTTGTCACAATATGTTTGTATTGATATTTCTTTGTCTTTTTTTGTTTTATTTTTGCATTTATGTAGATGGTGAAAGAAAAATGGGTAGAGGGAGAGGTGATTGGCGTGAGAAAAACAAGGTTTGTACTTTTTGGTGGTTATTTGTTATGTGTATTTTATGTTTTTATTGTAGTGCATGTACACATGTGTACAGGTGTAGGTGTAAAAAGTCTTTTTTTTTTTCCATTTGCATAGTGAGACTAAATTGGTTTAGATTTTTGTATACTCTCTTACATGTAGCTCCGGCAATTGTGTATAATTAAGAAGAATTGCGTAAATGCCGAATCCGTTCCTAGCTTTTAGAATGATCATTGCCGTTTTGTTTGTTTTTTGATGTGCGTAAATGTTTTTATATTTAGATTTTTGTTGTTATAACTGGTACATGTACATGTAGTTGGATTACAATAGAACCCGGTATAATCGTAGCGTTAATTTTAGGGGTAATTGTGCATTTTGTGATGAAAAGCATCAAATTTAGTAGGGGAGACCGAGGACAATTGTAACACTTTTGTTCAATTTCGACATCAACTTTATTATAATTAAGAAATTAAAGGTATATAAAATGAAAGATGCATATCTTGGCTTGAAATATGACTCGGTTTGGGTTAAGTGAAATAAATTAAGAGCACATTTTTGAGGGGTCCAAGAAATTTGAAAATTTGGCCGACTGATATTTTGTTTAGTTAGGGAGGGGGGGGGGGGTGGTAAGATCACCTTTTTAATATTTTTTTATTAAAACAAATTTGAGGGGAGGGTTTTCCTCAAAATCGCACACATACAAAATATTGAGGGGGGGGGGGGAGGGGGTCGACCCTCAAACCCCCCCTGCTTACGCGCCTGGGTGGAGAAAATGATATTGTGTTTTTCAAATTCTGCTTTTGTGATCTGTTGTATTCTTTTGTTTTAATGGCCGCCATAGTGTCCTTTTTCCTATATAATGTTAACAACTTGAAATAATTATATTAAAGGTAATACAAAGTTTTAATATGGGGTCATGAATTTGGTTCAAATTAACATATTGGAAGCATATGCGATCTTACAATATTCAGTTAATCGTTGTTGCGGTTGAAATCGAGTCTAAAGTTATGAAATTGTAAATAATAAACTTTTGATGTTGTATAGCTCTCTCTCGAGGTCAAGATATTCATTAAGCTATAAAACAATGTTTCTTGACTAAAATCAACCGATTTTAGCTAATCCTGGTTGGAAATTATATATCACAACTACATATTTTGAGGTTTTCATGGTCGCATCTACCATGTTTCGGGCATAGACGCTAATTGAAATTTATCAATTTACCAGGAGCACCGGTAAATTTTTATATTCAATTTTTTTTGTAAGCATTAGTGTTTTAGGGGCTAAATTTTCTAGTGCTTATAATACATCCACAAAGGCATCAAAATATATAAAATTGTCAAGAATCACTATCCGTTTCCGTTTTCACTCAAATTTTCATATTATTTTTAATTGTACATCTAGTATTGAAGTCACTACCTTAGCACTACTATCTCTCATCTTAACAATGTAGTTTCGTGTAGGCTTAGTAATTATTTTGAATTCATGCACATGTTGAAATTCCAGGCTCTAAATTTAGACAAACTGTAGGGCCCCATTTTTTAACTAAAGTCCCATTTTTTATATATATATATATATATATATATATATCAAGGCTTTATAAAGACATTGAGTTGTGAAATATGTGTATAAATGGCCCTTATTAGGTTTTTAAATATATGTTAATTGTATTTTCATTTTCTTTTTATACAGCGTACCCATGCGTATCATGATGAAAAATGGAAATTGCATCAAGATCGCAGACGGCATGGACGAAAATCTCGTATCCTCCCTCCTTGGATTTCCAATAAGGTATAAAATTGGGACAGATGGGATTGCTGTTGAGATAGAAAAGTTGTAATATGTTTTTTTTATATTTCGTTATATAGTGCGTCCCACAAAAAAAAGAATCCGAAAAATTATTGATGTTTATCATAACTTAATCACAATTATAACTAATAAATGACATATTTGTAAAGCTTAGAGCCTCTTTTATTTGATGCAACTCATATGATGCATATTTTACGCATGAGTGATTAAAATCAATTTGAAGAGAGGGAACCAAAAGGTCGTTTGGCGTATGGTATCTAAATTTCAAAAGAGAAAATATTTTTAGAAAGTTCAGTTTTTGCCCTTTTATGTGACACCTCAATCAGGAAAAAAGAGCAAAGTTTTGTTTAAAGTTTTAAAATTTGATTTAAGAAGTCAGTTTTCACTGGCTGCCTGTTGTAGCAACAAGCAGAATTGACAAAAGACAAGCTCCGTTTCGTTGACAACCAGCCATGCAGGAAGTCTTTCGCCCATGTCTGATTGTCAACAAAACGGAGTAAGTCTTTTGTCAATTTTGTTTGTTATAGCAGGCAGCCAGTGAAAACGAATTTGTTTAATCAAATTATTTTAATTTAAGCATCACTTTAAGCAAAAAAATTATTCCTTGCCTATTTTTCATGATTGAGGTGTCATATGAAAAGGCAAAAGCTGATTTTCTCTTTCAAATTTAGATACCGTGCGGCAAATGACTTTTTGTTCTCTTTTTTCAAATTGATTTTAATCACTCATGCGTGAAATATGCATTATATGAGTTGCTAAGCTTTACAAATATATGTCATTTATTCATTATAATTGTGATTAAGTTGTGATAAAACGTCAATGATTCTCGGTTTCGTTTTTTCTGGGACGCACTGTATAGTTGTTTGTAATTACTGTATCTCTGTAAATATTGATTGTTTTTCAACCAATTTTTGATATGTTGTAGCCAAGATAATTTTTTACATGGTCAATATCCACTTTTTATCATTTTGATGAAGACATCATAGTGAAAATTGCGACTAAAGGCGACATGTCAGAAGTTTCTTAATTTACGTGCAATGCTTATAGAAGGTGAATTTCGTTTACATCATGAATGTACAGTACATGACATTGTTCTTTGAACAGTATCTCGCTTATTCTTGCGCTATTTTATACCAAACTTTGGTATGTTGTAGCCTGCCCGATGGGCTATAGGCAATGTGCCTTTTGTTTTTTGATCAGATATTATTATGTCGAAATTTACAATTCAAAGTTGAAATTGCAATTTTGATAATATGTCACGTATGTCCGAACTGTGAAATTTAAATGTTAGCAGTGTTTTTATATTCAACTATGGAGAAAAAAAAAGTTTTTAGACTACACTATTGAAACTGACTGCTTTTTTTTTTTTTTTTTGAGGGGGGTGGGGGGGGGGGTTGTTACAGCAGGCAGCCAGTGAAAACGAATTTGTTTAATCCAATTATTTTAATTTAAGCATCACTTTAAGCAAAAAAATTATTCCTTGCCTATTTTTCATGATTGAGGTGTCATATGAAAGGGCAAAAGCTGATTTTCTCTTTCAAATTTAGATACCGTGCGGCAAATGACTTTTTGTTCTCTTTTTTCAAATTGATTTTAATCACTCATGCGTGAAATATGCATTATATGAGTTGCTAAGCTTTACAAATATATGTCATTTATTCATTATAATTGTGATTAAGTTGTGATAAAACGTCAATGATTCTCGGTTTCGTTTTTTCTGGGACGCACTGTATAGTTGTTTGTAATTACTGTATCTCTGTAAATATTGATTGTTTTTCAACCAATTTTTGATATGTTGTAGCCAAGATAATTTTCTACGTGGTCAATATCCACTTTTTGTCATTTTGATGAAGACATCATAGTGAAAATTGCGACTAAAGGCGACATGTCAGAAGTTTCTTAATTTACGTGCAATGCTTATAGAAGGTGAATTTCGTTTACATCATGAATGTACAGTACATGACATTGTTCTTTGAACAGTATCTCGCTTATTCTTGCTCTATTTTATACCAAACTTTGGTATGTTATAGCCTGCCCGATGGGCTATAGGCAATGTGCCTTTTGTTTTTATGCCTCCGTTACGAAGTAGCCGGAGGCATTATGTTTTCGGGTTGTCCGTCCGTCCGTCTGTACGTACGTCTGTACGTACGTACGTCTGTACGTACGTACGTCCCGTTCTCGTGATCGCGTTATCTGAAGAACCGATTGATGGATTCCTGCCAAACTTTGGTCATGTATGTATCTTGCAGAGCCGATGAACTGAATAGATTTTGGGGTTACGAGGTCAAAGGTCAAAGGTCACAGGGCTCATTATGTATGCAAAAACAGCTCGTGATCGCGTTATCTGAAGAACCGATTGATGGATTCCTGCCAAACTTTGGTCATGTATGTATCTTGCAGAGTCAAAGAACTGATTAGATTTTGGGGTCATGAGGTTAAAGGTCAAAGGTCACAGGGCTCATTATGTATGCAAAAACAGCTCGTGATCGCGTTATCTCAAGAACCGAGTAATGGATTGCTGCCAAACTTAGGTCATGTATGTTACTTGCAGAACCGATGAAGTGATTAGATTTTGGGGTCACGAGGTCAAAGGTCAAAGGCTACAGCGCACATTATGTATGCAAAAACAGCTCATGATTGCGTTATCTCAAGAACCGATTGATGGATTGCTGCTAAACTTAGGTCATGTATGTTACTTGCAGAGCAGATGAACTGATTAGATTTTGGGGTCACGAGGTCAAAGGTCAAAGGCCACAACGCACATTATGTATGCAAAAACAGCTCGTGATCGCGTTCTCAAGAACCGATTGATGGATTCCTGCCAAAATTAGGTCATGTACGTTACTTGCAGAGCCAATGAACTGAGTAGATTTTTGGTTCATAAGATCAAAGGTCAAAGGTCATGGGCTCATTATGTATGCAAAAATAGCTTGTGAACACATTCTCATTAGAACTGACAGATGGATTACTATTAACTCAGGACATCTTGCAGAGCCAATGAACTGAGTAGATTTTAGGGTCATGAGGTCAAAGATCAAAGGGTCATATATGTATATGAGAAATTGCTTGTAATCACGATATTCTGAGAACCTGTTAATGGATTACAATTGAACTTGAATTCGAAAAATGTCTTCTGTTTTGGTTTGTAAAATTGCTCTATGACGGAGGCATCATTTTCGACTGCGCGCAGTCGAATTCCATCTAGTTTGATCAGATATTATTATGTCGAAATTTACAATTCAAAGTTGAAATTGCAATTTTGATAATATGTCACGTATGTCCGAACTGTGAAATTTAAATGTTAGCAGTGTTTTTATATTCAATTATGGAGAAAAAAAGTTTTTAGACTACACTATTGAAACTGACTGCATTTTTTTTTTTTTTTTACAGGGGGGGGGGGGGGGCGGAGGGGTAATAACGTACATAACATTAACTCCAGGGAGCTTCGCCGCCAAAGGCGTCGGGTCTCCAGAGACTGCGTTGGAAATGATTCAAACGGCAGCGGGTTGGGTCACATTTTTTTTTTAATGTAAAAAAATGTGGTAATTACAATTTTGACTTGCAATGTTTTTCGTCTTTTTGAGGCGTCTTTTCAACCACTTAAAATTGTGGAATCTAACCTTTTCTTTTTTGGCCTTAAAATGAGACATATATTAACTTATAAAATCATGCATTGTATCACTTTATTATTGGTTTGTTATGATTATTATGGTTAATAATCATTTAATTGTTGAAATATTTCTTTATACAGGGTATATTAAAATTAAGAAACAGTGTAAAAAATTAAAATTAAAATATAATATCTCGAATTGATTGAGGGATGTTTATTTTATACTGAACAAAGTGATACTTGTAGTTCAAATTTATTTCAATGATACAAGAAAAAGAAATATTTTTTGCGGGACCATTTATTAAACTTAAATTTTATATATCTAATTGCAATTGCAACTGCAGATTAGGTAACAATTGTGTAAGAAATCGCACATCTTTTGCATGCCTTTTTTTTTTTTAGTGGTCAACTGCTTTGAATTGATTTTTTTATTTTTATAAAAAATAACATTAATGCATTTGTATAAACTTGCATCTGTACAATTTTGTTATAGATTTATTATTGATTTTGTAAAAAAAAAAAAATTATGAAACAATATGAGTTTGTTACATAATGTGTTAAATGACATCATGTTTTACATCACTGAACAATTTTAAGAGAAACTTTGCCATAAAATAATGGCAAATTTGAACTCCCAACACTTTAGAGGGGCTTTAATCTTGTGAAATCTCAATGCATGTAAATACGATCGTAATAAGGTTATGAATATATTGACAATTGTAACTGTAATAGTGTATATGTTGATTGTAATCTACCGGTATTCATTTGTGTATTTTTTTTTAACAAAGTGATATAACCATTATTTCTGTTTTATTCAAATATAATAAAAAGTCTGAACATAACAATACTTGGTTTACATTGTATCGTTTAAAAACAGTGGATTTATAAATTTAGTAATAAGTTACAGTAGAAAAAAACATTAAAAAAACTTGTCACGGTTTAAATTATGTAGGGCAGAGGGAGACAGAGCAAGAGAATAAGAGAGAGGGAGGGAGGCAAGAGAGAGAGGGGGTGAAAGAGCATAGAGATAGATAGATGTAGAGACAGACCCCCCCCCCCCCCAAAAAAAAGAGGGACAGAACAAGAGAGAAGAGAGATGCAATTGAGAACAATGCCTTTAATATTGCTAGCACAAATGGGCTCTTAAATACTGATCATAACAGTGTTAGCAATAATCAAAAACAATAATGTTCATAAATACGATGACGATATTAGTGATAATGATGACCATGATTAAGAGTGGCACAGCGCCCCTTAGGTAGGCTGTTCGATAGAGGATTGTTATTTAAATGATAACTGTTACCGGTAACTATTACTAAACAAGCTCAAATTTTTGCTTGATTGCAGAGATATACTTCGACGCACTAAATACGCAACAATGATGTCATTAGAGCTGATTATGACTAATAAGGACTATATCTAAACTGAGTTACGGCTAATTCGACCGTGCCCAGGGGCGGCCGAGCGATTTCCAAAGTGGGGGGGGGGGGGGCACCAACAAAAAAGGGCACTTTCTGGAAAAAAAAGGGCACCTACATTGGGAAATCTCAAAGCGAAAATATACAATTTTTTTGACATTAATTGGTATATACCCCTACATTGTGATTACATAATCAGGGAGGATTTCATTATTTGTTTCTCTTCATACATCATACAAGATATTGCTTAAGCATCATATTGTACAGTTGGGTATGATGTCTGACTATGCATTGACGAGCGAGCGAAGCGAGCGAGAACATTTTTAAAGATCTGTGAGGTCGCAGTGCGAAAAATAACGTCTTCTATAGAGGAAAAAAGCCAATCGTGATGGGGTTATAAGCACATTTTCATAACGGAAGACTGAAAAGACCTTTGATAAGTAACATAATTATATCATCTTTAAATGCGAGCGAGCGCAGCGAGCGAACTTTGGGGGAAATTGTTCTTAGTCGCTTTAAATAAGGGGCACGTTTAATGATTACATGAAAAGGGGGCAATTATCGAAAGGGATAAGACACTTATTAAAAAAGAAAAGGAGCACGTGTCAAAGTACAAAGGATAATTATAAGAGGTGAAAATGAGGCATTTTTTCACCTGAAAAGAGGCACTCACCAGTGATGAAAAAGAGGCGTTTACGAAAATGGGAAATAGGCATTTGTTGATGGAAAAGGGGCACCCATCAGATTTTGATAGGGGCATTTATAAGTAAAAGGGGCACGTGTCATTATTAAAAGGGGAATTATCAGAGGTGAAAAGGGGCACTTATGAAAATGTAAAAGGGGCACTTATAATAAAGGAAAATGTGCATTTGTTGAATGAGAAGGGGGCACTTATTAAAAAGGAGAAGGGGTAGTTAAGGGGAAGGAGCTCTCTCTTTTTAATGGGGGCACTTATCATAAGGAAAAGGGGCACTTATTAAAAAATAAAAGGGGCACATATTAAAATGAAAGGTGTGCTCATCCGAGTTTAAAAAAGGGGTAGTTATTAAAAGGAGAAGGGGCACTTTTTACAAAGGAAAAAAGGGGCAGTTGTCAGAGTAAAAGGAGCACCTCTCAGTTTTGAATAGGGCAATTATCAGAGGTGAAGGGGGCACTTATCAAAACTGAAAAGGGGCACTTTTCGTACCTGAAAAGAGGCACTTACTAGAGATTAAAAATGGCACTAATTATTGAAGATAATTTCAAGATTTATGAGAATTGAAAAAGGACACTTATTGCAAAGGAAAATGGGAACATGTCAAAGGAAAAGAGGCACGTGTCAAAAATAAAAAGGGCACTCGTCAGAGGTGAAAAGGGGGGAAGGGGCACGTTTACTAAGTAATAGGGGCACTTGTCAAAGTAAAAGGGGCATTTTTCCTATGTAAAAGGGGCACTCGTTACAAAATAAAAGGGGCACTTTTGGGGTATCTGAAAAAGTGGGGGGGGGGCGCTGTGCCCCCCCCCCCCTGCCCCCCGGGAGGGCCGCCTCTGACCGTGCCGTATTGATAGATCTACTGCCGTTTGAATAACGTTTTGACGCACTATGGATGTGGATGCTTTCATGCATGTGTCGATCATCTGTCAAGTCTTGAGCAATTAAATATGCAAATAAATTATTTAAATATTGTTTTATATTAAGTCATGTACACAGTGATTTATTTAGTCCTGATTTAATATAAAACATGAGTTAGATATTAAATTTTTACCCATCCATAGCAATAATCCAACATCTATAAGATGTTATAGAAATAGAAATGGTTGTTAGTATGCATGGCAGTAAAAAGCCAAACGATAAAAAAATTCTCAAATTTTTCTTGATTTATTTGTATACATGTAATAAACTATTAAATGAGACACTGACATGATACAGAGACAAAGGGGATCGAGAGACTATATACAAAAAGAGAAGCAGAGACAGAGTTAAAATTGTAGATTAAAACAAATATTTTTAAATATTGATTTGTCCTTTAAATACACCGTATAGAAAAATTGTGTTTTTCCATGTGCTGTAAATCGAGCTTGCAAAGGTAAGCATTTGGTAGACCGAAAGCTTCAGTCTCTATAATCGTCGGTTGTTCCACTGAGACTACGTCTGGCTCCACTAGACCTCCGGTTATAGAGACTGAACGACTGCCTATGCCAGCCTGTGTTGAACTTATTCCGCTAGATTTTAGCCGCTAGGCCCCTCCCACAAACTTGCCACGGCCGTTATGCCCCCAAAATAAATGTCATTTTACCTCGTTCATTTCCAATTTTAAATTAGGCCTAGGCTATAATACATCGGTTCCACTTACTAACTTGATTGATATAATCCGTTTAATGGTCCCTTTTAAGGAAATTATCGGTCAAAATCGACATCCATGTTGAAAATCTTGCAAGCCGTGTTCGCTGCCGTCAATCTCATCCCTTCTAGTCTACGCCGAAGGCAAAATGATTATGAAGGAAAAACTGTGCGCCATCTACACGTTCGTAATGGCGTTATCACAGTTTTTCCTTCATAATCATTTTGCCTTCGGCGTAGACTAGAAGGGATGAGATTGACGGCAGCGAGAGTTTAACACGGCTTGCAAGATTTTCAACATGGATGTCGATTTTGACCGATAATTTCCTTAAAAGGGACCATTAAACGGATTATATCAATCAAGTTAGTAAGTGGAACCGATGTATTATAGCCTAGGCCTAATTTAAAATTGGAAATGAACGAGGTAAAATGACATTTTGGGGATTTTGGGGGCATAACAATACGGCCGTGGCAAGTTTGTGGGAGGGGCCTAGCGGCTAAAATCTAGCGGAATAAGTTCAACACAGGCTGGCATAGGCAGTCGTTCAGTCTCTATAACCGGAGGTCTAGTGGAGCCAGACGTAGTCTCAGTGGAACAACCGACGATTATAGAGACTGAAGCTTTCGGTCTAAGCATTTGGTTGCTCTTGTAATTGTATAAAATCTCTGTTTTTATAGTCTATGTATTATTAAATGATCGTGAATCAATTCATATTTGTACGTAGAAAATTCGGTCACCACTCATTCACTATGCATAGCGGTTTATTGTGTCATTATGACTTTTGACTTTTTTTCCACATGTTGCACCCCAATAAATTAGTGCAAATGATGCGCAGGTACTGTAGGCCTAGCGCCTAGATGCTGAGTATGAGGGTAGCGAGTATGAGTGGGTCGGTAAGAATTGTGTGGCGTGCCGTAGTTGAGCTGAGGGTGTTTCAGACGGTTTCAGACCAGGCCAAAGTTACCGTGTGCAACACAATTCCACCGACCCACAAAATGCGTATCATGTGCAGAATACCCTACCAAGGCTACCACAGTGTTAGTCTTTATAGATTAGTCATATAGATCTAGGCCTAGTCTATACAGATTGTGATTTTAATGTTTGCGATAATGTTGATGCAGGTATTGCAGATTGGGTGCTAGTTTAGAAGTTTAAAACTAGCCAAAATTTGACCTGTAAATCAATGTAACTCTGGCGGGAGTTGGGGAAAACTCGGCCCAGGTACAAAAACGGTCAGTTTTTGGACGTTTAGGTTTAGGGTTAGGGTTAGGGTTAGGGTAAAATGACAAAAAATGACAGTTTTTGCAGCTGGGCGCGGGCCGAGTTGGGTGCTAGTGTAGAAAGTTCTGTATCCATTTTTTTAGCAGTTTCATATCCATTCTTAGCAAAGGAAATTTAGCCCAATTTTTTACTAATTTTAATTAGGCCTAATAGGGTCTAGGTCTAACTGAGACATAGATCTAGTATATCACATTTTCCACCTGAATTTGGATCACATCCGACATCGGGAAACCTCCGTTTAAGGTGTCAATGTTGTCGCTCAGTACCGTCTCTACGCTATAGCTTTGCAACTCAAACTGAAGCTATCAGTCCAAAATTATGCAAACTTTTTATCCCCCAAAACTTGACTTACCCATGCCTTTACCCACGTTACATACATGATTTGTGAGATTTTGCGATTTTGCGTGAAATCGCTGTGGAAACACACAGTGACAAACCGTGTCTGGCGGATCATCAGAGCGCGTGAAGCCTCAATCACCACTGCAGCGTGATTGGTTGAAAAATACTTTGAGATACGCATATACAATAATATGTTTATTCCGCGCTGTACATAACAATGACAAATGTACGTCACAATAGAATAGCGTGGAATCCTGTGTAGATCTGAATCCATGATCGAGGTCAAAGGTTGAATCTTGACTTCCGATTAACACGGTATTTGCCTGACTTGGAACACGGAATCTGGGCGAATCGGAATGCTGCGCTCTGTGGAAACAGATTGGTTTAATACCGTGTCATCGCGACACGGTATTTCAATTCCAGAAAAGATAATCCGTATTTCACTTTTTTCCTGTGGAAACATGCTGAATATAAAAAAACAATTATTGGATAGTGAGGCAATGATGTCACAGACTCATGAGTTACATGTACAGTAGTTGCCAATTTGTCTTGTGATTTTCAGAGTTTTTTATGTTATTAAGAATTCATAATAAATTAGTTATCCGATTTTGCTCAAACTGTTTTTGATTGCTTTTATTGAAAGCAAGTTATTTTGGAGTGGACTTGCCCTTTAAAGCCTGTCTGTACTAGTTTGGCCAGGGGGATTAGAGTTTCCTGCAAGGTCACTGACAGGTGGTTATCTCAGCATATCAGCTCTTAATTACCATAGGAAAAAGGGGATCATGGGGGACCAACAGGCACCAATTAGGCATTGTTTGCTGTATAGAGGGCCCATGTAGCTATAAGTAGTGCAGTGAGGCTTTAAAGGACAAATCCACTCTAAAAAAATTAATTACTTTCCATAGAAGCAGAAAAATCAGACAAACCAATCAAAAAAAATTAGAGCAAAATCAGACAACTAATAAGAAAGTTATGAATTTTCTACAAAGGTAGCTTGGTACAAAGCAGTGGCATTAAACATAAAGACCAGTTTGGGAAATGCCATCCTCATAAAATAAAATGAAAGCTCTTATTACCAATCATGTAAAAGAATATGTTTTGACTAATGCGTGGAAAAAAAACACGGGGGCTCAGGGTGAAATAGCCCCCGAAATGCCCAAAAGAGCCCCCAAAAATCAGAAAAGAACCCCCTTAAATTTGCATAGAGTTCAATGCAAAACAAATTTTAGAACGTTATTTTCATGCAGGCAAGGTTGAAATGCAGGCAAGGTTGAAAAGTAGCCCCCGAAAAATAAATATTAATTTTTTCCCTGTTGCTGAGAAACTGTCTACTATTTGATATATTTGATAAAGTATTATATCTGTTTGGACCTGATAGATATAACGCACGTGTCACACACGTGTGTAGGAAGGTAGTCCCATATACATCTTTCTGTGTACAGTGCTTGTAACTTTATCAAAACTGGGCTAAATTTCTTATCATTTTGATGATTCTAGAACCTTGCAAGTTGCAGTACATACCAATACTTATATGCTAGATGATCAACCTTTACTGATCGATTCCACAACGTTTTTTTTACAATGCAATCGCATGACCATAAATGGTCTTTATCTTTAATGGACACGTTGTAACGCAAATTGTACAATTGTTTTTTTAATTTTAATTGTTCCATTGAGGTAAAACCATATATGATTAGGAGTCAGGACACAGATTTACTAATTTTTTCTACAGCTGTACTACTGTACCTTGATTGCTATTAATATTACAAAATAAATGTCATCAGGGCATGTCAAATTACAAGTTTTCATCTCTAGTTCTCATGAACTATTATGTACTTTGCTTACTGGACGCATTCTTTCATGCCACTAAATTTGTGCTAAGCTACCAGCTAAATAAAACTTGAGTAGTCTGACATTAATCAATATAATTTACAATGTTGTGTTTATTTTTATCAATCTCATCAAATGATCTCTATGATTTTTGTCATTAATGTACTGTAATAGACCTACATGTATATCATTACATTTTGCTAAATGTTTTTTTGTTTTTTTTCTTTTTCTCCTTTTGCATCAATGAATACAACGTGTGTGGCGTTAACCTTATCGTGTTGAATGCTGCTATTATACAGGTAAGAGACTGCTGTTTTATTTTTTTATTTTAATATTGTGGAACAGGTACGGTAAAATTGGTTTATTTAATAATATTGTATGTGTGCAACGAGAAGGATGTAACTCAGAATTAATGCCCTTCTGGCTCTGAACAGATGTGGTGTGGGAGAGTTTTTTTTTACAACATATTTGGAATAAGAACATATTTATTTTTGAATATTATTAACTGACATTTCTGACCACTTCCCAGTATATTGTATTTGTGATATGGCTAATCACAAATGTACCTGTGAAACTGACTTTTTTACACATGATTTAAAGAAAAATAATATTAGAATTTGTTTGCATTTGCTGTATTCAAGGTAAATGGTATCTATCCAGTGATGTAAATAATATTTATGATAGCTTTGTTTTTAAATTCACAAAACTATAACTCGTGTTTCCCTGTGAAATTAATGTGTATGAAATATAAGCGTAAAAATAAACCTTGGATTACAAATAAAATTATAAAGTTGAGTAAGAAAATATGTGACTATATAAGTTGTATGTTAAAAATAGGTCTAAGCCTTCGCTTTACATGGGTTTTCGACACATTTTGTAACTATATTCTGACCAACATTATGCCATGATCTACAGTAAATGCCCTTTTTTTAAAATGTGCAAATTGTTATGTATAAAGAACAGCATAATGGACATGCCAGCTGCAATGCATACCAATGTAATGCACATGCTAATGTAATGTACATGCCAATGTAATATACATACCAGCCAGTGACAATAAGACAATAACTCTCAGGTAAAGCACATATGTTATAGTGTATCAGAGATACAACACAAATCAAATATAGGACTATTTGGGAAATGAATTTTGAGATGAACATTGTTTTATTCTCGAAAACAAAAATAATATTTACTTTGAATGCTTTCGACTTAATAGTTTTTCATAATTTGAAATATTTATTTTGTTTTAGTTTGGCTCCCGCTTAATTTTGTTTATTTTTTTCTTTATCTATACATCTCTTAAAACCCTATTTTGATATGAGGTTGCTGATTTATTGAATTTTTGTACGCATATTTGATTTTTTTGTTTGTAATGAAAAGAGCTAAATGAATGACAGAGATTAAAACAAAATCGTAATTTATCACAATCAACTCTCTCTCTCTTTTTATCTATTTATCTATCTATCTCTGTCTCTGTCTCTCTGTCTCTCTCTTTCTCTCTCTCTTTCTCCCTCGTTCCCCTCCCTCTCTGAATATGTCAGCAATTTCGTAAAATTGGAATTGTGCTTCAGTGTAATTTATTTCCGCATCGCGCTGTTCTTTTGTTTTGTTGTTTTTGTTAAAAGGGTGTGGCTAAAAAGGAGTTAATCACCGTAGTCTTGGTAGTCCTTTATTTATTAAAAAAAATAAATGATATTTAAAATATAGTAATTCAATACATGTTACGAAACAATAAGGAAAAAAGTGCAAACAAAAACACAACAGTTGAGGTGGACAATGATGAGAAACATAGGCACACTAAAACAATACCAATATGTATAAAACAAATGACTGTGATTCGGGGGCAATACACAAATGATAGCAATCAACAATAAAAAGCTAGTCATGCCACCACCCCCCCTTTTTGGCTGTGACAGGAAATCGATAATGGTAATATATCATGTTAATAGAACACATATAAAAACAAATAAGGCAAAACATTTGTAAATCTATATCTGCCTTTTACTTTTTTCAATGTGGGAGGGGATCATGATTATTCAAATAGAACTGCCATCTGAAGAAAAAAAAAGCCGTTGTGTGCCTTATCATATTATCATCTTACCACTATTACCTAAATATATTTTATAAAATAAAATGACACACAAATCCCATTTATCAGGATAACCATTGAACATCTAGACTGGTTTTGGTCAAATCCCTTGTGAGAATTCAATTTATTTGTTTTCGTCTCCATTTGTGTTTTCGCTCAACCTATCGTGTCAATAAAACTTTGTTAATCCTTGTTTCATGATCAGTTTTGTAAATGGTATGTACATGTACAATGTATATATGAAATGAAGATGATGATGATGATGATGATGAATTGATGATGCTTACAATATTGTAATAAAGTAGTAATGGTAATACAAATTATTTTCTTCATCTTGCACTCGCTTTTTTTTATTGCCAGAAAACTTGCATTTTTTTTTTCAACAATGGTAGCTACTGAACAATGGTAGTTACTTCTTTACATTTATTTGTTCCTCTTAGGGTGGGGTCCGATCCAGGCAGCTGAGATAGGCGTTTTATAAAAGAGGAGATCCATACATGAATGATTCGCTAAATTGGTCAAGTTGATAAAATGAAAAGGGTATAGTCAGAGTTCCGGCACTGGTAATTACAGGGGAGAAGAATTACCAAGTCCTTTTATAAATGCGTACTTATATACTACACAGTTGAGGGTAAGCTTGGTAATTTGTGGGCAAGTGAAACGCGGCATATAGCAAATTTTATTTAAAAGGAATAGTCCTAGGTCTTTATGAATAGGCCTACTATAGGCCTAATAATATTATTATATGAATAACTACAATACATCTATGAAAATGTAAGGAAAACAACGCCCTCTCATATTGCTCAGCGAAAATAATCCAATCACTGATCCGTCTCCAGCTGTACCGGTATTTCAAGGGCTTTTTTTTCGATCCGAACACTAACTTAGGGTAAAGTTGAAATGATATCACTTTTTTTCCACGTAACGTAATTTTTTTTTAATAGATGAAATGAATGAATATATCTAAATAATACTTTAAACAACTTTAGCACATAATAGCTTATGATAAGCTGGAAAAATATTGGGGATACATTTCGGCTTCTGTAGAAACCCGTCGTCACAGACTTAAAAAGTTGCTCGTCTTCTGTAGAATCCCGTCGTCTCCAAAGTGTTAAATATGCGATTTTTTTGTTTTTGTTGATAACTTTAATGTTTGACAGATTTTAATCAAATTCGAAATAAAGGTACATAATATCAAAACACAGCCTAAGTTCAATTTTTGAGTATGTAGGTCAAGTGTCATAGCTCATTAAATATACGAATCTGGTTTTTGTTTGATAACTTTAGTAACGTTTAGCGGATTTTAATAAAATTTGATATGAAGGTCATGGTATCAAAATACAGCCTAAGTTTGATCTCGGAGTATGTAGGTCAAAGGAGAAAAGTCATACATGTAGCTCATTAAATAAGCAAAAACACCTAATTATATCTGTAAAAATGTGGTCAACTTCCTTGCCTACTAATATAATAGTATAGCCCCAATGGAGGTAACTTGTTTTGATGTATATGTAGGCCATTTGTACCCTGCGAGGGGATGCTACGCTTTGCGTTGACTTGTTTAAATAAATATTTTGGTCATGTTTTACTTTTTACTTTGTTATTTTTCTTTTGAAGACTGATGGCATCAATTGAGTGATTTGGACTTTAGGAGAAGCAAAGTTTCTGGAGAGTAGGTTTATTTTAATGCTACATTCCATGATTCTTTTATAAATTACCCAACCTGTTTTACTGACAGATTTTCATCGCTATTAGATGATATATTTATATGATTTTTGCCATATTTATTTTTGAATATTATTAACTGACATTTCTGACCACTTCCCAGTATATTGTATTTGTGATATGGCTATTCACAAATGTACCTGTGAAACTGACTTTTTTAAACATGATTTAAAGAAAAATAATATTAGAATTTGTTTGCATTTGCTGTATTCAAGGTAAATGGTATCTATCTAGTGATGTAAATAATATTTATGATAGCTTTGTTTTTAAATTCACAAAACTATAACTCGTGTTTCCCTGTGAAATTAATGTGTATGAAATATAAGCGTAAAAATAAACCTTGGATTACAAATAAAATTATAAAGTTGAGTAAGAAAATATGTGACTATATAAGTTGTATATTAAAAATCCTAATGATTATAGAAAAGAAATATATAGGAAAATTTGTAATAAATCAAATAATAAGATTAAGATTGAGATAAAGAAATATTTAAAGAAAAGTCTCGAAGAAAACATGGAATATTATTAATAAAGCAATGGGAAAAAATGTAAGATAACTAACATTCAAGAGATTAAAAAAGTGATAATTGATTAGAATGACTTAGAAAATTATGAAATGTTTATGTGACATGATTGTAGATGGGAATGTATGATACAGTATTTAAAATTATGTACATTTTGTCTGTAATTCAAATGAAACTTTGTACAACTGATCATTGCAAGATTTACATGTCATATTCTAATTTTATGGTTCTTTTCTTTTCCTAGGCGGAGACTTTTACATTCCTTTCATTCTCATTGAGCTTGTTGGCGGACTGAACAATTCCATTTCATCTTCACCCATATTCCCTTCCCAACTGTCTTCAGACGTATATTCATCATTCACTTTTCTTTATCTCAGAAAGATCCTGCTCTCCGAAGAGAGTGTACCACAGCTGTCTCTTGTAGACCGTATTGGCTGTGTCTTTTATCCATTTCATCCCATTTCATCTTCACACTTGCAAAAAACAAATGAAAAATTTACAAAAGCAATTATGAGAACATTATTATATATTCATGCAGAAGCATTCTATACCTAATCACAGAAGTCTTAAATGTTTGCTACAGAAGAAGTCCTACTTTTTACTTGTGATACTTTATATTACTGAATTTTCTAAATTTCACAAATCTTCTCTTATTCTACAAACTTTCTAAATCTATTCTTAATCACAAAAGTTATTCCTACAAGATCTCTAAATCTATTTTATACTAAGCTGTCTGAACTTTTCTAACCTATTTCATATTACTGAATTTTATATTTCTTAATTATGGAACTTGAAATTGATCAATTCAAGGAAGTGATGAAAGAGATTGTAGATATGCTATATACATGCGATCCGCATAATGAAGAATGTTGTGTCTGTAAAAATACAATTGAAGAAAGTGAAAACAAAGCTACTTGTGAGAGCTGCAATGAACATTATCATGTAACATGTATGGGCTTTTTGTGTCAAGATCTAGTAAATGAGCAAAGATTAATCTGGATATGTTCATATTGTGGAAATAACAACATTGCACATCGACTATTTGATAAAGTATGTATCCCCTCTCATATCAATAGATACCAGCCTCTCGAGACAGTGGATGAAGTATTCAATGATGATGTGCTCCTCTTAACCAAGCAAAATGACAAACACAAGAAATGCAGATCAAAGAAAAGGTATTTTAAGAAATGCAAGAAAATCATTATAGAGCCAGGAAATCAAAGTGTAAAAGTAATGAAATCAAGTGAGTTTGACACGCATGAACATGATCATCTAGTCACTCAAAGAGATTCCCCCAAACAACGTGATCAAGTGCATAGCGAAGAAGTAGGCAGTAATGAATGGATGAAAGTGAAATCAAAAAAGGCAAAGATGTTGGAAAAGATCCAAGACAGAATATCACATTCAACAGCAAAAAGTGACAGTGGAACAGGTCAGAAAAAGAGAATCATAAATGGTGTTGTTTTAGAACCTGGAGTAACGTACATTGGCAAAGCAATGAAATCTTTCTACGAAAGACGAAAAAGTAAAAAATCAAAACGCAAAGTAGACATCAAACTAAACAGAGATGTAGAATGTCAGAATGTATTGGAAAATAATGTTCAAATGTACGCAGAAAAATTGCTAAATGAATACTCAAAGTGTGTGCAATCACCAAAATCTATGATGTCCCATGAAACGAAACTCTACAAAGAAAATAACATGAAGCAAAAACAATCTTGGGCTGATGTAGTAGGCCATGTACAAAATGAAATAATACAGGAACATTCTATTGTTGGCAGTGCGACATGCAGTCATGTTTTTTTAAAACAATATAAGGGCAAAGAACAGAGCACATTTCGAGTATGTGGTGGTGCAAAACCAAATGATAAAGGAAAAGTATGTGACGGAAAGACTGAAAACGCGGGTGAAGTAAAGGTGGATAAAGATTGTAAGCAACATGTGGACAAGTCTATTCCTATGAAAATGTTTGAAATGAAACATGATAGTACATTTCATAAACAGTCAGTCAACACCTCTAATGTAAATTTAGAAGAGAAGCAAATACCAAATGAGAACATGTCAAATATGGAACAAAATACACTTGTGCAATGTGTTGCCCTGGGCAATTTTCATCAAGGAAATGCTAGATTTGGATTTTATTCTGGAAAGCAATGTGTTTCTAACAGTTTTGCTGCTATTTTATACAGTAAAATTACAGATGTTTCCCAATGGCAAAAACAAGATCTTGACAAGGTATTGAATTATGGTAATGAGTTGTATAGATTTATTCAGCTTAGTTCTGCAATAAATGAAGATTTCTTATTGATATCTGAGTTACCTGATCAATTAGAAGCTTTTGATGTCCATTTTAAGATGCAATGTTCTCAGAGTGTTGTGGGTATAATTTGTGGAGATGAATCTTTTTTAAGTCATTTTAATGCAGTAACATTAAAAGATGCTCTCCATCAGGAATTAGATAGACATGATGCATGCTTTTGTACATTTGGTGGCCAAACATTTGCAATCATATCCACACAAGAACAATATTTTATTTTTGATTCACATTCAAGAGATAGGCATGGACTTATGACAGATGGTGGGACCAGTGTCATTCTATGTTCATCAAACTGGGAAGGTGTGTACGATCATATTTTGAAATTAGCTGAATCTATGGGTATCAATAGAAACCAGACTGAATTTGAACTTACAGGTATAATTGTGAATCTTATCAATTCAAGCGAGATTACTGTGACAGAACATGGTGATAATGGTCATGTTGCAAAAGATGAACAGGACTGTATAAATGTAGTTGAAGGTAATGATGGATTTTTCTTGCCAACAGATAGAACTGACAAAAGTAATAGATGTGTTCCCACAAATGTGCCTGATTCTATTGAAATCAATGAAGATGACTGCAATATTATTGATACTGAAAATGATCGGAATGATTGCAGATATTTCGCAAGCAGTTTTTCGACAGATATGTCTGATTGTATTGAAATAGATGATGATGAGGATGACTGCATAATAATTGATGCAGAGCATGATACAAATTATTGCAAAGATTTGTTTAGTGGTGCTCCCTCAGATAGGCCTGATTCTATCAATATAGATGATGTTGATGATGATGACTGCATGGTAATTGATACAGAATACATTACAAATAACTACAAATATTTTCCAGTCCATTCAAGTGAAAAGAAAAAAATGTGTGCTAGATTTAATATTACAGATACATGTATCAGTTCGAAATCAGATATCGACACGTGCATTAATATTGGTACTCCTGCTATTATTTCAAATATTACCGGCGATGGAAATTGTTTTTACCGGGCAATCTCTCTTTTTCTGACAGGGAAGGAAGGCAATCACAAATTTCTGAGGCAAAAGTGTATCCAACATTTGCTGGAAAACTCGCACTTATTTGCTGGTTGTTTAAGATATGAATTTGTATCAGTTAAAGACTATGTTAGTAAAAATAAGCCAGACATCAATGGTGAATGGGCCACAGAGGTAGAAATTGCTGTCATGGCCCATCTGCTTGAAACAGACATATTAATATTTAGTGATATTTATTTAAAGTGGAGACTATATTCATGGAATAACCCTGGACGCATTGTACATGATTCAAATATGGGCATTTATCTATTACATGTTAAAGGGGTACATTTTGATTATGTTGAATCTGTTAATTGTATTGATTTGGTTACAGACGAAGGAAAAAAACAAAGGAAGTTACATGTAATAAAAAGAGATCTATTAATAGTGAAATGCTTAAAGACAAAAGTAAACTATCCAAACAATATGCATCTTGTGCAACAAAAGATGAAATTGAAGAAACGTTTATGCCAAGTCTAAGCGGAAAAAGTGAAGACATGTTTATGTCCAAAAGAAAGAGAAAAGGTGACACAATTCATGAAAGTGTAAAGTGTGCTAAGTCGAAAAAGATGTCTTTTCCAAAAATGCATAGATATTGCAAAACAAAAGAACCAAAACTGGAAAACGATGAGAGGGATAAAAAATCAGCTTCTAAAATTACAAGTTATCCATCAGACAATTGTAATACTATGAATAGAGGTGTTGCTGATGTTTTAAATAAAGGAAACGTGTTCATTGGAAATGACCCTTTAAAGATACGGAATGAAAAAATTGTATTGAAAAAAGTGTCAATTAGACTTGTACGTTTATCTGAATCTGAAATAAAGAATCTTTCATTTGATTTATTGAAAGGTATAAAGAAAACACAATCTAGTGCTAACTTTCAAGGTACAAATATTCCAGTAAAAGGGTCTACAATTGAATTTCCTCAAAAACAAATTAAAAAAGAAAACAAGAAAAGCAAATATAAGCAGTCCTTAAAAAAACGACAACAATTAGCTAAAGAAAGGATGAAAGCAAAACGAAAACAAATTAATGATCATGATGCATACGAAGATGTACAAAACAATGAGAATTATGTAAATGACATGGATGGTTGCAAATTCAAAGAGATTTCAGTGATGTAAAAAGACAAAAATGAAACATAAGTATCACTGTAACAAAACTTTCAGAGATGAAAAGAAGAAAAAGATTAAACAGAAGTATCTGTCTGAAGAATCTTTCAGAGATGAACACAAGCAAAAAATAAAGCATAAGTATGAGTCTAATATATTGTTTAGAGATGAACACAAGAAGAAAATAAAATTGAAATATGAGTCTAATGAATCCTTTAGAGATGAACATAAGAAAAAAATGAAACAAAAAATAAAACATGACTATCAGTCTAATAAATCCTTTAGAGATGAACACAAGAAAAAAATGAAACAAAAAATAAAACATAACTATCAGTCTAATATGTTGTTTAGAGATGAGCACAAGAAGAAAATAAAATTAAAATATGAGTCTAATACATTATTTAGAGATGAACACAAACAAAAAATAAAACATAAGTATCACTCTAACCAGCATTATAGGCAGAGACTCGCAGAAAAAAATAAAGAACGTGCTGGACTTAAGAAAATAGTTTCAAAAAATTAGAAAATGTACTACGAAATTTCAGAAATGTTATTTCTCATGGACCAGAATATGTCTGTTGTGTATGCCTAAAATTGCTTTTTCAAAGTCAAGTCTTAAAATGCATTAAGCAAAATTACCAAAACAAAACGTGTATGAATGAGTCCTATTTACACATTTGCAATTCACACTGTAATGAAAACTGTCAATTGGCGCACTCATCTCGTGGACATTTATGGATATGCTTTACATGCCACAGAAAATTGTTGACGAATAAATTACCAGGCTGAGGCTAGTGTTAACAGTTTGCAATTGCATGAGATTCCAGAAGAATTGAAGGACTTGAATAATTTAGAGCAACATTTAATTGCACGTAACATCAGTTTTTTCAAATTAATTCGTTTACCTAAGGGAGGTCAAAATGCAGTTCATGGACCAGTTGTTTGTGTGCCTTCGAATACAATGAAAACTGTAAATATGCTACCTCCACCAGAAAGAGAAGATCAATTGATCCGTGTGAAATTGAAAAGGAAAATATCTTATAAGGGCCATCATGAGTATAAATTTGTTAATAAAAATAAGGTGCTAAATGGGTTGCACTATTTGAAAAAAAACAATAAGTGGTATTCTGATATAAGTATCAATGAAAACTGGAATAATTCGTTGTCAGGAGAAATGTGTAGTGCAGAAACAAACGACAATGACGATTCAATTCAAAACTTTGAAGAACAGGAAAATGATGACCAAGAAGCAAGGTTAAATGGAATTCAACTTGATACCTGCTTGCAACCAGTTGATATTGGACAAGAAATCCTGGATCAACATTTTGATGATATTTTCTGTTGTGCTCCATGTGAAGGCAACAATCCCATAGCACTTCTTAGAGATGAAAGCAATGAACCTAAATCTTTTCCTGTATTATTTCCAAAAGGTCAACCAACTTATCATGATTTCAGAAGTGTACGGGTGACCCTTGGAAGATATCTTCAAAATAGGCTAATGCACGTAGATAATCGCTTTGCTAAAAGTACAGATTTTATTTTTTATGCTCAGTGCATTTATGAAATTCAACAAGTTTTGTCCGTGTTTCAATTGCATTGAGAAAAACATCAAGTAAAAGTGATACTGATGCACCAATCACTATCAAAGATTTAAAACAAATTGACAAAGTTCAGGACATATTAAAATCAGATAGAGGGTTTCGCTTTCTGAAACAGATAAGAGGTTCTCCTCCATATTGGTCTGCCACACAAAAAGATTTATTAGCCATGGTGAGACAGCTTGGTATACCTACATGGTTTGCAAGTTTCTCGGCAGCAGACATGAGATGGCCTGAAGTATTAAATACTTTATTAATGGAAAGAGGTGATAAACGAAAAATCAATGACCTAGATTGGACAGATAAATGTGAACTTTTAAAGTCGAATCCAGTGACTGTTGCAAGGATGTTTGACAAAAGATTTCACACTTTTTTGAAAAATGTTATTTTGTCTGAAGCACATCCCATTGGTCATGTAATAGATTATTTTTATCGTGTTGAATTCCAACAGCGAGGATCTCCACACACACATTGTTTATTCTGGGTAAAGGATGCACCAGAGCATGGATATAGTTCAGATGAGGAAGTAGTTTCCTTCATTGATAAATACATTTCTTGCAAGATACCATCCGAACAAGAAGATCCAGAACTCCATGAAATAATCACTCATGTGCAGCAGCATAGCAAAAAGCATTCAAAATCTTGTAAAAAGAAGGGAAAAAACATGTCGGTTCAATTTTCCAAGACCACCATCTGATAGAACATGTGTACTTTATCCCAAAGAGGGTAATCCCGATGAAATTGATAGTGCAAAACAATTATTAGAATCTATCAAAAACGCTGTAAATCAGGAAAATAATTACACTAATGTCTCGGACCTTTTTAAAGATTGTAACACAACACAGACTGAATTTGAAACTGCAACTAGGTTATTAGCTAAACAAGAAATTTTGATCAAGAAAAGAGACCCCAAAGATGTATGGATAAATCAGTACAATCCTTTTCTACTGAGAGCATGGAATGCAAATATGGACTTACAATTTGTTATGGATGTTTATGCATGTGTTAGATATATTGTATCATACATTTCAAAATCAGAGAGAGAAATGGGAATGCTCTTAAGCCATGCTCAATCTGAAATAAATGAGGGAAATCATGATGCAAGAAAAAGTATCAGACAGCTCGGAAATGTCTACATGCAAAATCGAGAAGTATCTGCACAGGAGAGTGTGTATCGTGTATGTTCCCTTCGATTAAAAGAGTGTTCACGAAAAGTCGAATTTATTCCGGTTGGTCCAAATCCTGTTAGAATGAGTTTACCTTTACATGTTATTCAAAGTAGACCTGACGATATGATGATGATAGGAGTCCATGGATGGCAAATAAACTTGATCGATATAAAGCTAGACCTAATGGAAGTGAATTTGACACTATGTGTCTTGCAAAATTCTGTGCATGCTACAGAATACTAACTGCATCGCAAGTGAAAGGCACTAAAACATCACCATATTTATTTGAATTGAAAAATAATTCGGGATACATTCAGAAACGAACAAGGTCTAGTGTTGCTGTCGTAAGATATCCACGATTTTCTAAAATACTTTCTCCAGAAAAATATTACCTCAGTATATTGCAACTTTTCCTGCCATTTAGTAATGATGAGCAGTTAAAACCACCACAGTTTGAGACATATCAGGAATTTTATAAAACAGGTAATGTCAAACTACAGGGAGGCAATTTGGAAAGTGTAAAATCAATAGTAGACAAACATTGTAAAGAGTACGAAAGAAATTCAAGAGCCATTGAACAAGCTGAACTTTTCATGGACAAATTTGGTTCTCCAGAAGATGCGTGGGCTCTTTTATGTCCTGAAAGTGAAAAAGAAAGACTAGAAAATCCTAAGAACAAAGTTGAAATGGATGAACCAGAATGTGAATTGGACATTCCAGATTTCAAACATGAAAAAAAGAATGAAACTTCTAGTGTGGAATTTCGAAGCCATGGAATTTCAAAACATGAATCAAATAGTTTGATTCGATGTTTAAACAATGAGCAAAAAGAAATCTTTTACAAAATTAGACAATGGTGCTTAGAGAAAGTGAATGGTACAGAAAGTCAACCTTTTCATGTACTTATTAGTGGTGGTGCAGGAACAGGAAAATCTTATTTAATAAAATGTATATACCACGAAGCTGTACGCATACTTGGTAAAATGATTTAATCCTGATGACATTTCAATCTTGAAAGTTGCACCAACTGGCATAGCTGCATTCAATATAGATGGATCTACAATTCACAGTGCACTCTCAGTTCCAATCAACGCCAAATTTCCTTATCGACCACTTGGTGAAGAAAGAATTAACACCCTTCGTAATAAGCTTGGACAGTTGCAAATTTTGATCATAGATGAAATTTCCATGGTAGATTCCAATTGTTGTACTACATACACGGTCGATTAAGACAAATTAAGCAATCACGCACTGATTGTCCATTCGGTAACGTTTCGGTATTGGCAGTTGGAGATTTTTATCAATTACCACCTGTGAAAGGAAACCCTTGTATAAGGAATCGGTAGAACAATCGCTGTGGTCTGAAAATTTCAAAAAGGTAGAACTGGTTGAAATAATGAGACAAAAGGAAGATTTGGCATTTGCTCTACTCTTGAATAGATTGAGAGTTAAGGAAAAGAAAGACACTTTATCAGATGCAGATTTATCCATCCTTACCTCTCGTGAAACTGGTGAAGAATGTGAAGAAGATATGCACATCTATTCAACTAATAAACAAGTAAATGAATGGAATAGCAGAATGTTGCACAGCAAATGTGAAGATATTATATGTGTTAAAGCTGAAGACAGAAATAACAGCAAGGATAATGACGAAATATGTACCGAACCATGTAAATCTGGTCAAAGTTCTTTGCCTCGCAATCTGTCAATTGCTTTGAATGCCAGGGTGATGCTTTTAAAAAATATTGATACCAATATAGGTTTGACAAATGGATGTATAGGTACAGTTGCAGAAATAGTAAAACGAAACAACGAATCCAAGCCATACTGCATCAGTGTAAAATTTGATAGCCAGAAAATTGGCATTCAATCGATCAAAATGTATGAAGAATCAATGGGTAAAAATTACACAAGAAAGCAATTTCCCCTCAAACTGGCTTATGCTTGCACGGTTCACAAAGTACAAGGCATGACTTTAAATAAAGTAGTAGTATCACTGAAAAAAATATTTGCATCTGGACATAGCTATGTAGGCCTGAGTCGTGTAACTTCTTTATCTGGACTTACCATTGAAGATTTTCATCCAAAAGTTATATACTGTGATCCAAAGATTAAAAAACACCTTAATGATATGACCAATTTCTTGGAAACTTCTATAGCAGAGGAAACATATGATGATGGTTTATGCATAATGTTGCACAATATTCAAGGATTAAAACAACATTATGTAGACTTACAATGCAATCCAACATTCCTGAATTCTGATATTATTTGTTTGACTGAAACATGGCTATCGGATAAGGATGATGCTTTTGAAATATGCTTAGCTCATTTCAAATTGTATCATCAATCAAGATATAACTCTTATTCTATCACAAGTGACTCAAGGCAACAGTTCAAGGACCAGTCACATGGAGGTGTTGCAGTTTATAGCAAGAATGAATTTTCAAGCAGACTTGATATAAAGATTGATAATCTAGAGTTTATTGCTTTTCTTATAACCTGTCCTGTTTCTGTTGTCATTGCAGTTGTTTATCGCCCTCCGACATACAGAATGAAAGACTTCTGTGAGTGTTTGAATAACTTATTAGAAGAGCTACATAAAGTGGTACAAAATGTATTGTAATGGGCGACTTCAATGATAACTTATTAAAACAGTCATCTAGAATACAAGACTTGATGTGTAATCATGGCTATACACAACATGTAAAGCAATCAACCACTGAAGGTGATACTTTGATTGACCATGTATACAGCAAAGGTCTACCGTTGGTTGAAACACAAGTGATTCCTATTTATTATAGTTACCATGAAGCAATTAAAATAAAGCTCTTTCACATTTGACATTTTAGATATTTCAATCGTATCACAAGGTGATCCTTAGCTGTTAATCTAAACTACTCCAGACTTTATTTTGTTGAAGATTAAGATTAGGGTTGGTATTGAGTTCAAGGTTAGTTTTTTTAACTAAGTGAGCATTAGATATAGTGTTTGGTCCTGAGCTGAATTCGGGATTTGGTTGATGTAGAAAATTTGACCACGGACTATCTGTAATCATCTTTGGAGCATTTTCACTTTCTCTGATTGAAGCTTTCTCAGACCTAATCTTCATTACATTAATAAATAAAAGTTAAACTGAATTCGACCTCCACCACAAAAGGCAGCGACACTACCGCCCCAGAGATCACGTTTTGTCCCTGTAACGTCTTCGTCCAGGCTGCGTCCTGTGCCAGCAGTGCCACGGCCTCCTGGGACGCCTCTACAGCTACGGACGCCTCAGAACCCATCACAGCAGTCAGTAACTTCTCGCCTGGTGATTCCTTTGATGTTAGCACTTATCTGGTCATCTATTACCTTATCGATAACGCTAGTTTCTACTCGACATGCAGCTTTAAAGTCACTGTCACTTCAAGTGGAGGTCAGTGATTTTCTTTTAATTATCAGGTGGGCTGTATCTAATACAGACCACCTTATATTTTTTGTTAAAATCGCCTTTATTATTTATTTATTTATTTATTTTCTTATTTCGACCCACTTTTTTGTGTGCAAGATGATTGAAAATTGCTCAATCAATATCTTAAAATTTAACACACATATGTATAGGCTATTCCCAAACACAGCAAATTTTTGACATGATGACCGTCATCTAGGCGCTATTTTATGAAATTTTTTTGAAAATCAACTCGTGATCATATCTTTTCATAACCAAATATAATTTTCTCATTTGTATTTATCATGATTAAGGTCAATATCAGTCCGGTCAAATTCAGTCAAAAAACGCGCGAGTGTGCGTAGTGTGTCGTACTCGCGCATCAATACGCGCGGCAAAAAATTTTAAATGCTCAAATCGTCTTAAATTATTTTTGCATACGTTTCAGGTCATTTTAAGCATTTCATAAAAAATTGCCGCGCGCGTTGTCGCGCGTAACACCATTACAAAACATAGAATCGCCATTTTTTTTTTCTTTCATGATATTTCTCATATTTTTTTCAAGGAATTTGATACCATGTTTATCTCTTTATGACCATTAATAACAAGATGAGCGTCAATTCAAGATAATGACAATTGCGCGCGAGCGCTTTTAATACATAGCATATATGGGAAAAAAACATGCCTATACAAAATTCATTATAGCTCTTTGGAATGAACCGTGACCTTCAATTTTTTTTCATATTTGGATAGAGTATGAGTCGGAGATATGATTCCATGTCTCATTTGGCCATTAAGTGTATCGTGACATCATCATAATGACCTTCGAACTAAAACTAGGCATTTGCTATTATGAACGTCAGCATATTTATGGAAAATTGATTGTATCTCTGTATATTGATCAATTTTCTTCCAAATTTCGATATGTTGTAGCTATGATAATTTTCTACATGTTTAATAATGAACCATTTTTCATTTTGATGACGTCATTAGAGTGAAAATTTCGATTAAAGGCCTTTGTCAAAAGTGACATAATTTGCATGTTATGCCTATAGAAGGTGATTTTAATTCACGTTATAATCTACATGATATTGTTTTTAAAGAATTTCTAAGCAGTATGTCGCTTATTTTTGCTCTATTTTGTCTCAAATTTTAGTTGCCAGCCCACCTATACTTGTTCCAAACAAGTATTATATGTCTAGTTTTTGTTTGTTTTTGATTTGTTTTGGGAGTGTAAGACATTATTGGAAATCTTGCTTTGCAAAAAATACTTGCTTTAACTGACCCATTTATGTATAGAGTACCAAGGTTTGACGTCATACTAGCCAAGTTGTCAAGGTTGATGGTTACAACAATTTGTGCTAAAACATGATGTGGTGATCACACCGGTGCCAAACACTGACTTTGCCCTGCTCTACTTGTTGTGTGAATGATTTGCCTTGAACCTCATTGACGGCTCTTTTAAAACCGTAACCCGGACGACAAGTGAACATGACGTTAACACTTTACTCTATTACAGCAATTGTTTGGTTCAAATTTTTTTCTGGCATATAAACATGTTGCTATGTTTGGCCATTTGTCTGTGTTTCATGAGCAGATTAGAATTGTAAAATGTGGTAGTGAAATGATTCAATTTGTACCAAATCTGAGAAGATGAATGTACACTGTATCTCTGATAGAGGAAGCAACTTTATTTTTTGAAAATGGAGGCTGCTGTACATATTCCCTATCTCTGACATCCATTTTCATCCAATTTCTTTGTCACAGTGGTCATCGACAGAGAGAAACCCCGTCCTGACCAGCTGTTTAACCGACATCGTCGCAAACAATTGCCAGCCCTGGTACCTCGACCCCGTTGGTTTTATGCTGGCTCCTGTGGCATCAGACAACTCAGAACTCCGTTTCCTGACGGTCAATCAACTACAAGGCAGTTCCATTGCTGTTGGATCTACTGAGGTCACCTACACAGCTAGTAGGATTGTTAGAAAGACAGAGCTAACATGTGTTATTGGTAGAAGTTGCAAGGGAGAAATAACGAGGGTAACTGACTAGAACTATTTTTTTTTGGGTACCATAGGAATTTTTGTTATCAGTCTTCTCTTTGAATGTCCTGATTTAGACCTATGCTCAGTACAGATCGGGAGAAAAGTGTATAAGGTGATATGTCATTTAAAGAGATATTCTTGCTTCATTATGATTCATCAAGGAACGATTTATCCAGGAACAGATGGCACCCGACCATCCTTCCTCAACTGGCCAAGCAACATGACGAGACCGTCCCCTTCGGTAGCAGCCCAACTACCGTCAGCTGGACCGAGCCCATTGGTGTAGCCAGCGTTGCGGCCCCACAGAGCTCTGGATTTTTCTTTGCCGTGGAATACACTTACATGGTGTACACCGCCACAGACCCAAGCGGCAACTTCAAAGGCTGCTCTTTCTCTGTCACCGTCACAGGTAGGTGGAAACTTGTGTTAAAAGAGATTGTGGTTGAAAGGGAGTAAAGATACAAGCAAAAATGTGATGTTTTAGAAAACTCAATACATACACGCGTTCAAGTGTACCAATCGCCTGAAGAACAACAAATCTTGAGTATCATTGGAATATATAAGATCAGCCGAACAAAAA